CTCAGCTCCAGCTGAAACGATAACGATTCTGTGGCAGATTACCCAGGGTTCACATCCTTGGCAGCAATCACACAGCACTATCAGCTTGCCATATATTTTCTGTAGCAATAAAGGTGCAAAGAAAAGCCCCAGTATAATATAATCAAGACTGTAAACTGTGCTTATAGTAACAGAAGTAGGTTTGAAATTGGATATGAAAGGGCAGATCCCAGAGGCAGAAGCAGCAGGAGGACATCAGAGGCAGCACATCCATCCCGGAGCCTGGAACAAGCTCCTGAAACACCTCAGCACCAGAAGCAGCTGCTTGGAGGTGAGCACAGCAAGCTTCGTCCCCCAGCAGAGCCCAGCCCTGGGAGCACCCTGTGTGCTGCTCACAGACCAAAGCCACCTCGTCCCCATCTCTCTTGTGCTGCTGCAGTGCACTGCTCCCAGCTCAGGGGCAGCTTGGCACCCGCTGTCAGCTCAGCAGTCAGCTGCTTCAGCTCTGCCTGGATGATAAGGCGCTTTCTGGGCAGGTAGAGAAATAACAAGGGATGTAACTATCTGGAGCTCTGCAGCTTTCTTTCAATGCAAGATTTCCCCGTCTCTTCTCTGCTGGCGTCCGCAGCAGCATGGAAAGCTCTGAACAAGGTGCCCTATAATCCGTCAGAGGTGCCATTGCCCATTCATGCTCCACAGGAGCTCTGTCTTTCCACTAAATCCCTCAAGCCATCTCCAAATCACCTAATCTCCATCTCCACCACCTCCCTCTTTTCAGTGACCTTTCCCCTGACATACGGTATCTGCAGGCTTCCAGATAACACCCTCACATCCTTATCTGAAAGAATATTTTCGCTCCTGTCCTAGCATTATGCTCAAGCAGCAGTGAAGACAGACATGCAAGGAAAGCACCAGGAGCGCTCAGGAGATGGAGAGGAAGGCAGCTTTTGGCTGCTCATCTGAAACCACTCCAGCACCTTTGGTTTTGCCACCACATCAAAAGCCCATCTACCAGGCACAGAAGGCAGCTGACAGAGCCTCACCAACTGCTCACACCAGATGCAGAGATTTGGAGTGTTTGAAATAGGTTTTGCTCTTGTCATCCCAAGCGCAGCCCTTCACTTGCACTACACTGCTTCTTCTTGCTTCCCTCTGCTCCCAGGTCCCACAGCAATTCTGTCACCTCTCCCTTACAGTAATGAGCAGAAAGCTCCCAGCCCCCAGCTCTGCCCTCCTTCACACCCCTTGCATGGCAGATCCCCCTTCTTCTACCAGGCAGGGAACAGAGCAAGAAGAAATTCAGCGATGAGCACTGCAGCAAAGAAAGCATCAAGGTCTGCTGAGGAACAGCCCCATCCCTCACAAACAGCTGCACACGCTGGTGGTCTGACAGCAGCTTGGACAGCAGAGGACTGACGCAGTGCATCTCAGCTTGTGGACCCTGTGTGATTTCTGCTCAAATCAGAACAAAGAGGCTCCCCAGTGGCCCCAGCTCTGCGCCCAAAAGGCTCAGTCCTGCTCTCCCATCTCACCAGGCAATGGCCGTTGAGGTGCCCATGCAGTCCACAGAGGCTGCAAGCCACTTATCTGCTACAGGCGAAAGTTCTGTCATTTCTAAATAATAGGAATTCAAAGAATTCCCAGGTCTCTTATAACCTGCCTTTTACTCCAACAATAAAAAGCTTCCCCTAGAAGTTTCCCAATGTAAACAGACACCGTAAAAGAGACAGATGTTGATTCTGCTGCACTAATGAGGAACACCAGTATTACACAGGGTGGCTGGGGCACGGAGGTGAGGACTTACTACTCTGCTGAGAGGAGCCGGAGGGGTGCAGAGGCTCAGTGCTCAGCAGCGAGGTTACGCAGGGGTTGCACACAACCTCTGCTCGGTGCTTCAGCCTCGCCCCTCCACGGCTAATGAGTGTTACAAGAGGAGAGGGAGGCGGCAGAGGCTGGAGGGAAATGGAGCAGAAATGCAGGGCTGCCAGCTCAGATATCATCCGCCTCTCCCCAGACAGGCAGGCGCAGGGGGAACCGCTCCCCAGAGCCATGCAGGGGAGCTGCCATGGGAATGGCAGCACTGGAGCACGAGGGGTTGGAGCATGGGGAAAGTATGCAAAGCTGCACGCGCTGAACAAAGCTGCAGGCAGACTGGTTTTCCAAGCGGGGCCAGACCGGGCATCGATAAGGGACGAGTCCAGACGAAAGCAATGCACACATACACCTCCAGCTGCAGAGGGAATGGCATTGAGCACAGAGCCACGCCTGTCACTGAGAACCAGCAAGCGATAGCAGCTCTGCTGAACCTGCCACTCCACCGATCCAAAGGAGGAGCAAACAGCTCCTGCCCTGTTCCAGCAGTCACTGCCCTTCCAGCGCCGCCCGCAGCAGCTCCTGCTCTCACAACATCGCACTCAGTGCTGTGCATCCCTACCCTGAGCAGTTCACAGCTCAGAAACCAGTTCCTGCAGCTGAGGACTGCAAGGGGGCATTCAGTCAGGATTCATCCTCCCCGCTCAGCTCTGTGCTTTGTCCCCACAACCCCCTCTGCTCTCCCTACAGCCACACTCCCAGCACTGCAGCAGCTCCGGGCACGGCTTCCCGACAAGCAATCACATCTCAGAGGCTCTGGCATTTTCTCAGAACACCTCAAATTGCTTTTTTTACACCTCGCTGCTCTGTGCCAACCCCAATTCATGTTATTTGTGCATTTGCTTAGAGAACATTATCTGATCAGTCACCCTGTAAGAGGTTGGGGAAGAGTCTTCAGCTTCTCCTTGTCACCGAAGCAGGTCAGGCACAAAAGGATCGGCGCAAACACTTTGCAAAACAAACTGCCTCCCAGCACCACTGCTGTTTGCGTGGGGTCCTGCAGGCAGGCTGATGCGGCCCAAGAGGTCACACCCAGCACCTGCCTGCTCCGCAGCTACTCCGTGTGCCTTTAATCGAAACAAATAGAGGAGAAAACGAGGATTTGGCACATTTGCATACATTCCCTCTGCTGGCAGAAACTGGAAAAGGCAACACCCCAAACTCAAGAAGATGCTGGAGTTGCAAAATGCTCTTCACGAGCAGATTTATTCGGGTACATCTCAGACAGTGCTGTGTGTCACCATGCATCAGTGGCTCTGCCAGCCCCACCAGTGGGGCAGGTTCCCTTCTCTGCAAGGTAGGCAGGAGGGGTTGAGCCACACAGCCTTGCAAACTGCAGCCACGAAGGGCATGCAGATAGCAAACCCAGTGTCACAACATCAAAACAGCCCCCCTGACACCCAGCCCTTCCCAAAGCCCTGTGGAAACAGGAGCCCAGAGTGCTCGTTTGGGAAGAAAAAAAAGGTGCAAAAAAATCACTACAATTAATAATTTTATATTAGCCCATCCCTCCAAGCTGTTCTTCCCTCACCATCTGCATGTCCTGAAATGTGAAGTTTTAGTCATAAATGCCAGGCCTCGTTTTGGAAATTTATAAGCTGGTTTGCTTCCATTACCTGAACAGCTTCCAGATCCTATAGGCAGGCATTGTAGCCGCCTGAGCTCCACCATGAAACAACACGAGAAACTTTCCAATGAATCTCTTTTGCTTGACAGCTGCTATGCGTTCCATTGCTCCAAAGAATTTCCCCCTTCCTTTGACAGAAGCCAGGTATCCCCCAACTCAAAACCAGGAGCCCATCTGCTGAAGCCGTGGGGTCACAGACACTTCAGCAGTAACATACCAGGAGCTGTACTCAAGAAAGGCGACATATTTCAACTCCCATATTGCAGCCACAACCCCTGATGCACCATCAATTAAGAGCAGCAATAATTACAAATGGAAAACTGCAGACCTCAGAGCAGATAATGTGTTTCCATTAGATTAAGTAGTCATAGAAATCAAAAATAAAACCTATACTTCGGCTAATTAAGCCCACTCACCATCTGATTAAGATGTGTAGTGATACTATGGAAAAGTACCAAAGAGCTATTGTAAGTAAACCGACACAACTGGGTATTAATATTATATTCCTTGTCAGAAGGGATAATTGATCTGCCTAGAGGTTAACCAAGATAATTACTGCAGGTTGACAATATTGTCAATGTTAAACCTCTCGCTCCCCACGGCAGCACGAGGGATAAAAGAGGCTAAAAGCTGCCCCCAGACAGTGCCTGTTTCTGACTTGTAACATGGTGTTATTGAAACAACCTCCACACTTCCCTCTGTCTCTGACTCGAAGTACAACCACAGTGTGCTCGTTGAAGTCCTTCCCTATCCCCAAACCTCTTCCTCCTCTCCCCCAACATTCTGTGGAAGAGAAGTTGATGTGGGGTCTCTAAAAGCAAAATCCCTGCAATTCTTTCTTATCTAGGGCAATGGGGAGTGGAACAAACCCACTTTCTCTCCTGGCTGCAACTCATTCCTACAAGGCCAGGTGCTGGAATTATTCCCTTTGCTTTGGAGGGCCAGGGACCAGATTTTCACACAGACCTACAAGCAGGTCAGCTGCAAATGACCAAGCCAAATCCAAATTCTTCATCTTGATGCTGCATGTGCAATACTATGCCCTGACTTGTGCACAGAGAGGTGAAACAGAGACAGAACACAGCACAAGTTCTTGTCTCCCACTCCCAAGATACAGGTCTTGCTGTCCTCCTCCTTCCTCTGTGGGGGATTTAGTGGGGAGGAATCCCTTTGGCATTAGCGCTTTGGCAAACTGATGCTCTGCTTTATTCCACAAAGCTTCAAGGGATATTCCTGGTGAACCAAGCTAATGGCACAGGACTGTGATTAGAAAGCCTAACGAGACCAGACACGTTGCCAACAGTCCCACAGTGCTCTCGGTGTGAGCCTTCCCATCTAGGTCAGCCCTTTGTAAGCACACAGCTCCCATTCCGCTGTGGCCCAGAGCTGACCGCTGCTCTGCCATAACAGCACTATTTCAGGAGCAATGAGTTCTCGTAGGTGCAAAAACACATCACTCAAACTGCTACCAGAGAATGCATTTATACCAAGGGATAAATTACTGTATGCAAAGAGTACTTACCAATGGTCTGCTGTCAAAACAGAAGGATGTATGTGCTGGGGATATGCTGCGGGCCAAGGTCTAGCACTAGCTGGTGTTTTCATTCCTGACCTAAATGATGGAATAGAAAGAATTATTAGACTTGCAGATGACCCCACACCAGGCTGGCAGTACACTGGAGGATAAGCTGAGGATCAATAGCGATTCTGATAAACTGGAAGCGTGATCAAAAAGTCCAGGGAATCTAATTAACTCGTAAGATATTGCTGGCAAGCCAGGACTGCAGAAAGTTCGGGGTTGCTGCAGGTCACAAATTGAACACGAGCCAACAGCCACGTGGTGTTGCACACAGACACCATCACGGGATGCAGTCACAGATGTGCACTTTGCAGGATGTGGAGGAGTTGCTCTGCCCGAGAGCAATTTTGCCAGCAAACCAGAGGCTGCAGGGTTGGCTCTGCACCCACCCTGGAGCCCCGCCTGAAGGAGGTCCCTCCCCTACTGGTTTCTTTGCTGCTCATGTTTCCATAAAATCTGTTTACAGGAGATTCACAGAAAATAAAGATAAAAGGGGCATTTAATTAAATATTCCAAGACTGTATTTGGCATTATTTACTCAAACACATCTCCAAGCTTTGGGTTTCGGTTTTGGTTGTTACTGTGGAAACCAGATTAATGTGAATATATATAAAGCAAGGACTAATCAATTAAATAATTTAAAGAGTGAAATGAAACTAGAGGAAAGAAAACATGACAAGTTCTTCTGTATTTAAGGATTCCTACACCCAGTGTTTGGAACCAAGAGGCAGAAGACATATCTAGGATGCTGGGCTTGCCTGGGAGCTAATTGCTCAGATACTTCTGTCCTCCAGTACACCTGAAAGCATCTCCTAATTGCTGCTTGCAGGACAAATACCAAGGAACCTGCATCCCAAAAAACCCAAGCAAAGCTAGCAGGCAATGCTGCAAGCAAGCTCAGTGGCACAGGCTGTTATGGGCCCATCATGAGAGGACCACAGGAAACCCATCGTGCAGCATTCCCCAGTGCAGACTCCTGTGCATGTCCCTGTGCACACCCAGCTGCCTCTGCACAGCTTTTTCTTTATCTATATCTGCTAAGCAAGAGCACTAATCCTCACCTGCCTTCTTCATTTCTATTTGCAAAGGGCTTGGAAACCTTCTGGTGCAAAGAGGTATAGAAATGGTAAAAAGCATTATTCAATACCCCTCTCCTCCCCCCCACTTGCAAGGGGAATTGTGAACTAAACTGCTGCTTGGTATACCGTATCTGAGAAAATTTAGATGGAATTTGAGGTCAGTACTTAGCATTCAGCACAGGTGGGATATTGCTGGTTGGAGGGATGAAGACAAAACAGCAAGCAGAAGGCGCCAATGATGAGAGAAGAACCACTGTGCCCAGTGCACACCATTGGGGACACCTGGCCTGCTCAAAGCAGCAAAATCCCTTTGTTCTGCAGGGGGAAACACAGCAGGAGCAGGGTGATGGGACAGCTGCCACTGCAACGCTCACCCTTGCAACACGAGCCCAGGGCTCAGCAGTGCCCAGAGCTGCACTGTTCTGGGCTATTCCTGATGCCAGCACCAGCTCTGGAATTCCCATTTCCTTCAGGTTCTGCCATCTCCTGGGCAGGGATAAGGCAGCGGGTCTGGCTGGAAGGTCATTTGTTTCACCTCACGGAGGGGAGCTCCATCAGCACTGCTCCCAGAGAAGCTAAGGACATGTTTGACAGCATCCATAAGGTTTTCTGTCACACTATCTAAAGGATATTTCTTTGCTGTCTAGACAACACAATCATTATTTAACCAGAGCCAGAAGATGGATTCCCATGTTGCCTTCCCACTATGTTCACTGTCCCCGCTCATCACTGCCAGCCTCTCACTGTGCCAGGGTGCAGATCCCAGCCCCACTGTGAGCTCTGCAAGCAGAGCAGTCCCCCAAACCCACCTCCTACACTTAGTTGTGCTATCAAGGCCAGGAGCTGCAGGGACAGAGAGCTGATGGCTGAGAGCAGTGGGTGCCCTGCCTCTGTGGTCAATACTGAGCTCAGGGGAGGATGCTGGATAGGAGCAGTGCTGCTGCAGATTGAGTCCCACCTGGAGAGGGCAGGAGCTCTGCTTTGGATGCTATGTGCAGGGAGAGCATATTATAGATGCTGAACTAGGGATGAAAGGGATAGTGAAGTGATACAGAGCCCTCAAACCTTCCAATCCAGCTTGCTCCCTGGAAGCATGACAGTCTGGACAGACTTCTCAGGGGAACGTGAAAGAGGGGAATGAAGGGCTTTTCATGCTCCTGTGTAGGAGAGTCATGCTTTAGATAAGCTTGCAAATGTGTAAGTCCCCTTGAGCAAGAGAAGTCTAAGCGAGTTATTTATACTTTCACACTGCTGCTGCCCCAAGTGCAGCTCTGTTTTGAAGCACAAGCAAGCTGGCAGATCCTCCTTTACACTGCAAACTTGCAGCCCCATATTGCTTGGCTCCAACAATCTCTCACCAATCTCTTCCCTGCTCAGGGATCAACCATCTGATGGTCAGCCTGAGAAGTGCAGACCAGACAGTGAAGTATTTCCCCACTACAAGAAGAAATGAACTTGTTATAAGACAGTTTCCAATGGAGTGATGAACGCAGTAGCATCATGCACTGAAATTGAAGATGCACTTTAATGGCTTTGTTATTGATCCAAAGATGGCGATTTTGCCTTTGACATAGGAGCACACAATGGGAAAAGGAAAAAGGCAGCTTGCAGCCTGTTCCTGAGGGGTAGACTGTGCTTATCACCTACATGGAAATTGCTATAGCACAACAGACCTGACTCTGCCATGCCAAGCACCACGCAGAACCAAAACCTGCTCAAGATGTCAGACCACATAAGGGTCCCCAAAATTAAATCCCCCAAGCAGCAATCCAAACATTGCACACAAATGCCTCACAAAGTATCCCAGCAGAATGATACCTGAGCAGCATGAAAGATTTGAAAAGCAGAGGCATCTTCCCCCAACAGGTGAAAGAAAACATGAATTCACAAAGCTGGAACGCAGCCCTGTACTCAGCATTGTCACTAAACTTCATGGCAGTCCAACTCTAATGGAAAGGATTTAATAATCTCATGCCTTCCCCCAAATACAGACATAATCTTCAGTTTCAAGATAATTTTTCAGTTTCTCCAGCTTCCCTGAAGAGAACAGGTGCACCAAATGGACTACTAGCTTATCAGGAAATCTTGATGCATTTAAACAAGAAAGCAATTAAACACTTTCATAAGGGGAGGAGGGGGGAAGGAAACTGTTAAAGTGGTTTCAGGATGACCTTAAAATCTCCTGCAATTGTAGCAGAGAACATGAATATTTAGCAGGGCTGTCTGGCTTGAGCTCAGCACCACTATCCATCCTCAGCTTGTGGGGCCACTGACATCCTCATACAGCTGCAGAAGGACAGCCTCTGAGCAGAGCTTCATGCATAACCTTACCCAAGCCAAGTCGTAGAATGGCTCAGGGTGGAATGGGCCTTAAAGACCACCCAGTTCCAACCCCCAGCCACGGGCAGGGCTGCCAACCCCAGCTCAGGCTGCCCAGTCACCCCCACCTTATTCCACCTGACTATTTAATAAGGGCTAATTTTCCCAGCTGTTTGGCAAACAAAAATACAAACCATTGCCCATTGAATTCCTCACCTGGGCCAACCAGCATCAGCTGCCAGCATCAGCACCACTGGAGGTCCTGGTGCTCAGCCCACCATCGACATCCCAGAGCTCGGCTGCTGCCTGATAGCCACCCACCTCACGTCACCACAATAACACACGACTTGCACTTCCACGGTACTTTTAACAAGAGGACTTCAAAGCCCTCGTAGATACAGGAAGGCCCTGCGATGCCCTTAACAAGTACATTTTTAGTCTCAGTTTTATGGATGAGGAAATCGAGAGGCTAGTAAGGTAGAATAATTTGCCGACAGGACAGAGGAAAGGAAGGAGAGCAGCTATGAAGGAAAATGCAAGAGGTGTGACCACCCCTGCAACATAAGCCTCCCCCCAGGGCCAGGAGAAGTACAGAGCAGCCATCCCCAGGCAGGCTTTGTAGCAGCACAGAGCCCCGACCTGCAAATGGGAGAAAGAGCAGGGTATGTACAGAGCAGCTGGGGAACAACAAGCCAGAGCACAGGATGCCCACTAGCACCTCCATCCCCAGAGCATGGACTGCACAGTGCTGAGGCTGCAGTGGGGCAGAGCCGCCCCAGCCCCATCCCAGCAGCCTCATTGACGTGCCTTGTCATCTTTCCTCAAGACTAATTTTTTTAAATTGCAAAATCTTACAGAGCTATTAACCTCAAAAGAGTTTAACATATGGCAGCGCAAGTCTCCCTCTTACCCTAATTATAAGGCTTGCAGTAATGGGGCTGTCTTTTAAGTTACAGCTGCTATGCTTTTGGCTTTTCGCTAACATTACATCCTATTAAGGAGCTACACTTAATGCATGCAAATTGCCAGAACACAGAGTGCTTCGGACCAGAGAGGGGATGCATTTAAGCAACAGCAGTGATATCCCAGGGTCAGGCTCACCCTGCTGAGAACTCCGTATGATCCATCAATCAGACTCCAGTCATTAATTAACTAATTCATTAAATATCTTTATATATGAAGGCTCATCAAGGCAGAACATCGCGCTGACAGCGACGTCCTGTCAGCACTTAGCATTACAAGTGCCCCCTCCCTGCTGCACCCCGCACTCACTACAGCTCCCAGGCAGCCCCCACCCCATTATATCACCCCCCATCCACCCACTCTACAGTCCTCATGCACAACTGCTGCCCCAGGGTTAGCTGCAGCCCTTGCACCACCCCAAGCAGAGCATATCTTGTCAGCAGGAGCTGCAAAGTTTGCAAATAAGACCAAGTATTTTTAAATGATAATGAGGTGAAGCGTGGGGAAGGGGTCAGAGAAAACCCCACGGCAGCCCCAAAGCAGCTTTCACAGAGCAGCAGTAAAATGCACAGCCGTGATGCTGCTTTCAGACACTGCCATGAACCCCGTGGGTGTTGCTCGCAGTGACAGCAGCTCCCAGCTGGGCCAGCTACTGCCCAGAAATGCTGGTATA